AGGAAAGGGTGATAGAAGTGTTGACAATGTTGAGTCCCTTGTCCTTACTGAAGTCCTGTGCTAAGACAGACTTGGAGCATGCCAGTATCAGCATGGTTAGTCAGATTTAAGACATTGTGGGAGTCTTCCTTGCTTTCAGAATATACCACAGAACTGATATCTCAAAATGGAAATTCCACAAGAAAATGACTTATTTTAATGCAGCATTTATAGTGAACAAAACAGCAGTGGCTGACTATCCTTATGTGCTAGTAGCAAATTTAAAAGGAAAAAAAAATTATCCATAGAACTATTTTAAAACCTCTAAAGCAGGATGCCTGGAGCCTGAGAAATTGTTTCCTCTGATCTCTTGGGTTTTAATGACTAGCTAGCAGCATTCAATTACAAACTGGTCATTAACAAGAAATCTAATTGCTGTTAGCAGACAGGTAAACAACTCACATTGGTATCACAAAGTACATGGAGGGCCATTTTATAGTGAAATGACGGTTTCCTTAAGAAAAATAAAAGTTATACCGCTATATTTAATAAAGCTGCTTGCCCCTCCTTTTCATGTACATAGGAAACAGTAGTAAACTCTGATACTTTACATTTTTAAGTGTAATGCACATAAAGTTATTAAATAAACCATAATTTCAATTGTGTATATGAAATAAATCTCTGCCATCATTTAGGGTTTTGAAAACTTAAGTTACCATTGGAAATTTGTCATTTTACTAAAGGTAGTCAGGAAAGAGTTTATCTATGAGTATGTTGTTATTTAAAACACTCTCTATATGTATACTCATGTATTTAGATATGCACATACATATGCCTATATTAATTGCATTTACAAATATCTAGTTATATAATATATAACTTTATTAAACCAGAAAAAAGACAGCATAAAATTTATAGAGGTAATTGTAAGTTTATAATAACAAATGATTGAAAACAAAAGATTTCAACACAGTTTTAAATTCTTACCTTCTATTGTATGGGGGATATAAAAAAATTTATACAAAAAATAAAAATTAAAAAATTAAAAAAATAAAAAAAAATTGTTACCTTCTTTGAAAATAAAAATATTTCTGTTTGCTACTTTGACCAGAGTGCCAAAGTGACTATCTATGTGGAGTCATCCCAGATGATTTTGCATTACTTTATAGTTTCTCAGTTAAGAGCTTAAACACACACATCGACAAAATCATCAGATACCATCCAGAATCTTTTCCTCTCTAGGTAGAAGACTTACAGCTGTGAGTTTCATCTTGCGAAGAGAGTTTTACCCTGAAAATCATTATAAACCTTAGCAAAACAAAAAAGAGACCTACTATTATAGGAACTTTCTTTATCTACACATTAACGCTATCTTACTAATGCCCAGGTGGCAGGATAAACAAACCTATTAGTTCTCTAATAATTTAAGAATCCTATGGCATTCTTTTTCAATTGTGAATGTTCAAAACTGAGCCATAGTGAAGAAAAAGGTAAATATTAAATTCTGTTCCAAACGCTATGATCACATCGGGGCAACTATTCTCTTGCCTGGAAATTTTTAAGAGACTTAAAGAGGATTAGAAAGGAATCATAAAAGTCATGTAGTGCCAAAGCCATATCAATTGTGCTCCTAAGAATTTTGTTTTCAATAACTGTGTATCTTTGGCCCAGAGGGAAAGGAGTGGGCCAGAGGACAGATACCCTAAACCTCAGCTTAGAAAAGTCAGCAGTATCCCCCACCCACATACCCAAGCCACCTGCTTAAGCATTTAACAGTCCCCATGGTTAAGAATATATGTAATAATCATGTTCTTTCTTGTCCCTACTCTAAGTCCTTGCCACTTTGCAAATTCATTTTCTCTTGTTTTCCACTTGGAGACAGAGTACAGCTGGTTGTCATCTTCCAAATACTGTAACAATCCCTCACATACTTGAAGATAGTAATTAAGTCATCCTCTCAGCCTTTTCTTCTTGAGAAACTCAAATTCCTTTTTAACACAAATTATCAAAAAATTGTCACAGCTTTGGACAGAAAATCGTTATTATGTAGACTTTGTCTGTAAACTCCACATATTTCTGTAAACTCTCCTTCCCCAGGGGCAATAGCAGCTATACAAAGCTTTGATAAACTTGAGGCCCTGCTGTCTGGCTTTGTTCTTCCTCCAGCATAACACCACCAGTGAACTCCAGTTCTCCATTAACCTCCTACGAACACTTTGCAGTTCTCAGATAAACTTGTGTGACTCTTACCTCCCAGTCACCTTTCACTCTCTGCCTCCACCCCCACACATTCTAAAACAAGAAAACTTCATGAAGAACATGTTCTGGAGCAGCCACAGTAAGGGTGACGCTCCGAATATTACGCAGTCTACTTAACCCATATACACCATTCTCAGCAGGGCGAGTTTTCTCCATAGGGTATTAGTATGAAGATAATACAACAAAGCTTTTCTTTCAGTCATATCCATATAAAAAGTCAGCACTCATTACACGAGATATCAAAGAAAAACTGGATTTATCATTATGTCATTTTAGACAAATTATTTAATCTCACATTATCTTCATCTATGAAATGGGAATATTAACACATACAGTTGTATCAAAGAATGAGAGAAATAGTATGTTAGCATGTTACCCAACACACTACTTAAAAACACTGCTTTCTGTGGGAAAGGTATGGTATTTTCATACCTGGTGGAGTAAATACAGTGGACTGATGAATCAGTTCTCCTGGTAATATATTTTTATTTAAATAGGAGCCTTCTGGAGTTTTAACCTCCCCAAAAGTGAATCTAATGGTAAGTATTTCAAGTAACAAGTCAAAAGTATAAGAACAATGTTTTGAGCAGGGATACACCCTAAGTAAGGCAAGTTAATATAAGATGATTTCATCTTCTATCCTAGGCATAAACATGTTTATTTAAAGATAGATAACCTCAATCTCAGTGATCCTGAATTGCTTATAGCAAAATTTTCTCTGAAATGTGCCATACATTTTCACTGGTAAAGAGGATAACCCTACTCTTGGAAAGATTTTACATGCCAATTTGTCCATAATATAGATCTAGAATAATAATGCACCAACATTTTCATTCAGTATGCCTTGAAAAAGAAAGACAATTACAATTCTTCTTGACAATAGACTATTTCAAGGGTGAAAAGGCTGAAAATATTTTATGTGAAAACAACTGTTCATATTCATTCTATCTCAATAGCTACATCTATAACCTGAAAATACGTACAATAGATAGAATGAAGATTCATCCTCCATCAATATTTTAATACATAATTACTTGAGGAGGGACCATTGCCTTAACTTACACAGGGAGTAATGGATGACATTCAGAGTTTCATAATTCCATTATTTACCTGTTTCCTAGTATCTATAGATAATGACTGATAGCCTGCTCAGAATTAATTTTATTTAAATCTAGGGGCTATGGCAAAATTTAAGGAGGAAAGGTGTCTCATGTAGGGAATAGTCATTTGTACTAAAAAAGAGAGAGTAAAATTAATACTTTAAGCAGTTAAGATAAAAGATTCAATGAGCTACAAGATGAAACACTTCTTTACCTAATTTAAGCTTCTTTTTAAATGGCAACCAGTAAAAGTCACTGCATACCTAGAAAGTTTATCCTTTTATCCTTTCTATGTTTAGAAAAAAGCTACCAATTTAAAGGGCTGGAAAATGTTTGTGTGTAGGGATTATACATATTTAGAGATACTTCTGCTCGTCTTTAAATGGCAGATTTAACCTGCTACTTGGTGACTCATTTACAAGGTGATTCATTCTCACCCAGAGACACATTTTTATTTTTGAAAAAATAAAATAACAGTAGTATTTAAACAAGTTGTATTTTGTTTATGAACTAATCTACCCCAAAATGGTCATTGTGGGCCATCAATTTTACAGCAAATTCCTGCAACAAATTAGCATTGAAGGGTATAATTATCTTGTTGTGAAAGAGTTATTTCCCTGAATTATTTCAGTAACATTTACCATTCCTGATCATAATTCTTATTTCCTTCCAAAAATTTTTAAAGGAGATAATGTTATATGAATAGACTTTAATCAATGTGAAATAAAATTCTGCCTTTGCAAGACTGTGAAATTTTTCCCTAGAAAAATATGAATCCCTTATGTCTAGTATTTCATTGGCATTCCCAGAACTGTGTGGGGGAGACATATGACTGGGAGTCCACTAGCCAAGATGGCTAGACAGAGTATGTTTAGGATTTCAGAAAGTCAGATTCTCCGGCCAGCAAAATCAAATAAAAAATGTCAGCAGATTTATAAAAGTAACTTTTACCTACAAGACTTCTAAGGAGCAATTTGAACATTTAATCTGATTAGACATCAGTTCCTTTAATATTATTGAAGACGATTATACTGACACCTCCATAGGTCCCTCTGCCTATTCAACCTCTTCTCTGTCTGACATGTCATATTTATTATCTTTAAATATTACATATAATTTAGTTATGATTTCAAAGGTTACATTAGCAGGAAAAATTGTCTCCTGGACTTCCAATATAATCTACCATGACTTATTTAAAATTTAATTTTTTGAATGTACTTATCAATCTTTTCCTGTTAGTCATCTAGCCTGTCAGGTTTGCTTTTCTCAAAAAGATATTTTTCTTTTGTTCCTATGACTCTGCAATTGCTACTTTTCATCCTACCATTTTTTCATTGCTAAACATAATCACGAGTTATTAGTAATGTGCTTGCTTTACATCTCAACTAAAAGTTACAGAATAATACATATGTATTCATTCATACTGTCCTACATCCTAAAAATCATTAAAACATATCAGAGGTAAATGTACCAGTAGGAAGGCAAGACACAGATTTACTTATCAAGAAAGTTTATGAATAAGTTCTACCCATGTACACCAGCCAGAGACCACAGAGCACTACTTCCAGCAGCATAGAGGAAACAACTCTCCCACTCTATGCTATTATGTCATCCATGATGATGTTATAATACTAGTATTCTACTCAAGATAAAAGGAAAGAGATGGAAGATAGAAACAGTCCCTGAATAAGAGGTAATTGTGGAACAAAATAATATCAGATACCATCTGGGAAAGAAGAGAAATCCTGTCTGCAATAATCAATTGCCCACTAATTGTTGAGAAAAATGAGAAGCAGGAGCAAGTATGCAGCTAAAGGAGGAGGGATGTATAAAATGGTGAGTTCCTTAAAAAGGAACTTGCATATGTTTCTATGCATAATAATCAAGAGAAACAATACTACTAGGAATTCAGAATCACTCAGTAATATTCTCTGGAAATTGTTCTAGAGAAAAAGGTAGACAAGTATCTTCCTAAGCAAGGAAAAGAAAATGAATTAAGAAGAAATTTTAGTCAGAAATAAAAGTGGATAAATTTTTAAAAATTTAAGACAGTTCTCAATAAGGAAAACAAAATTAAAAATCCAGATCCATTTTACCAGTACATGATGTATACACAGATACATGTGTGTGTGTGCATGTGTGTGTAGAGGAGATAAGAATATAGAAATTCTTTACCATTATATACAAAATGAGGACTACTATTTCCATGTATTTTGTGGGATTTATATATTTACAGTGTAATACATTCCTGGCTGGAGAAACGGTGAGCTACTGCTAATGAATTGTTTTTAAACTTTCTTTATATTCAGATAATCTTGCAAAATTACATGCATGCCTAAGGAAAGAAGCAAATTACTACATATGAAGAAATCTATCATAAGTTCATGCTAGTACATAGCAAAATCTCATTCCATGAAGCATATGTCCAATACAGCATAGTGCTTTCATATCCACAGTTCTGAATTTTTCTAAACCTTTCTCACAAAGAGCTTTAATTTCTTCAAGAGTTAAATCAACCAAAATGCTAAACTTGGAAGGGAATGGTGCACAGTTACTAAAATAAAGGGATAATTAGGTATAATATTCCAGAATACTTAGAACTGTTTACTTCTTGCAGGAAATGGTTTTTCCAAATAAAAGCTCAGGGTGAATTAATTGTTATAAAATAAATACACAATCAAGCAAGTAACATTTTATAATTCTGAAACAAGCATATAATAGAAAATGTTTCAAAGATGTCTAATCCAAGGGAACTGGCAACTGGAAGTAGATTTGTGAATTAATGAACGTGATGATCTGGCAACATCTCCGGTTCCCAGCATTTGAATGGATGCTATAGAATGAGTGAAAAGCACACAGGAAATTAAATATAAGCAGTGTACAAAAAATTAAGCAGGTGGAAGAACAGAGGAGGAGAATGAGTGAACTAGTCTAGAGGGGAATAGGAAAGTGGAAAAACTGGAGAAGGAAAAGGAGAGGGAAATGAGAAATATTTGACAATTTTGAAAATCTATTTATCTTCTTTGTTCAACATTTTCTATTGATCACCATCAGTGTTGGCAAGTAGTGTGAAGCTGTGATCCTGAAATGATATTTAATTAAAATCCAGTTCTATTTTAATAATATGGTAAACACATCACAATTCTGTATGTAAATAACATCAGCAGATGAAGGATAAAAGAAGAATCAAAACTAAGTGCTAGGAAGTTTACAAAGAAGGCAAAGAGCGAATCATGCAGAGAAAAACAATAATTAAACTCTGCTTTCAATTTATTGTTATTGTGGCTTTTATTAAGATTCTGCTTTAGTCCAAAAGTTATTTTCTTTCTGTCTTGCCAGGGAAGAAAATAAGCACAAAGTGCATTTTGTTATTCTTACCCATAATGTCAGAGACAAAATCTTTTCTCAACAACTCATTCCCAACTCTATGAAATGGATTATTTTTCTTCATTATCACCTTTAAATTACTCTGAGTAAAATTCCTTCCCAAAATGCTTACCCTTTTTACATTAAAATACCAGATAATGGCAGATATATGGTTTTACCAAGGGAATATTTGGCCTTTGAGAGAGATTCCACTGGTCAACCCAACCAACATCTTTGAAAACCAATTTGATGTCTAGATATTTTAACAAATTGTGTTTTGGATCTCCCTGGTGGCACAAGGGGTTAAGATGCAACCTGTAAAGCTGTCCACAGTACCTGATGTATACACGAATTTGATCTGCAGGACATGCTCGATCCCCTGCCAGGGAGCTACACACATGGCGCAGCAGACCTCTCCTGACTCACCCGCTGCTCCCCTCAGTAGTGCATTTCAGTCAATCTGCCTGCTCTGTTCCCACTCTGTCTCAGGTGAATCCTCTCACCACTCCCTCCCCCACACCTCTGGCCTATACCCAGGAGAAAAAAAGAAAATCTTTTTTTTAAAAAAAATTGTGTTTTATAGGTGTTTTACATTCCACTGAAAGCCACTGCCATGCATATTTATTCATACTTAATATTTAATTGTACATTATCTAGAATAAGAAAATATTCACGAAATGTCTTTGTGATGTACAAATTTGTAATTTCCAAATTCAAAATAATATTTTAATTATTGATATAATGGTTAGTCAGTGTCATAAGACAGTGCCCACATCAAGAAGTGGGCTAAATTATAATTTATCAGTGGCCTGGAATAATCACACCTATAGTAAAAGTTGAGTGTCTTAGATTGCCTGGGCCGCCACAACAAAAACATACTTAATGGTGACTCAGTAGGGTATGTGTATTTCTCAAATTTCTGGAGATCAATAAATTGAAGATCAAGGTGTAGGCAGATTCCCTGTGTGATGAGGAGATGCTTTCTCAAGGTATATTTTGTCATTATGTCCTCATAGAGCAGAAGGGTCAAGGGACCTCCTGGGGTTCTATCATATTTCATGAGATTAGAAAGTCTCCCAATTCTCAGGAGAGTAAGAAAAACTGATATAAGGGCACTAATCCCATTTCTGAGGACTCCATCCACCCAATCAAATTATCTCCCAAAGGCCCCATCTCCAAATACCACCACATTAGGCTTTAGGATTTAAAATATGAATCTGGGAGACCATTCAGTCCATAAGGGAAGATTTACTAAAGGCTATGGTTTTTCTTCCTCTTTAGGTAGAATTATTGAAATTTCTACTTTATTTCATCTTTCTATTAATCCATTGTGTCTCAGTTCCAAAGTTACAAAAAGGTAAGAAAATGGAAATATCAAAGATGCAGCCTTCTATGGAATCAGATTTTAAAAGAGCAGGCAGAAATGTCTCAGTAAGGTTATGAAATGTAAGCCTCCACTGGACTTGAAGAGAGGGTGAAGAAAGCAGGTACCCCTTCCCTTCCTGGCCTCCCACCCCTTCCAGAACCAGAGTATAGTGTACTTGTTTACACCATTATTTTGTTCCAAAGTAAACATCTTAGCAACCTAACATTACCCCAGGTGATTCTCAGGGTGAGAGGAATCACCTATATCATTCACATATATTGCAGAGATGTATGTAGCAAAGTGCCTACAAAAGCAATAGCACGAAGAAAAACTCCTTGTGTTTAGTTATTGTATTCTTGAAGTTGCCAAAAATTCAGGAAGAGAAATATCAAAGGGGCCAAAGGGGAGGATTTTCATTTCTCCAAGACTAGCAGAAAGAAAATACAGCCAAACCTACAACTCTTCAGCACTCAGATACACTCTACTTATTTGAATGGGAAGAGACGTACCAATGCCAGAAATATAAAACAGAATAAATTCAAAGATTTGAGAAAAGGATGTGATTTGGCTAAGATTATTTCTATCTTTCTCCAATTCCAGCCCACTTTAATTCAAGCAGCTCACATCTGGTGTTTTATATGAAGTCAAGAGGAAAATCTCACTGAACCCAGTGCTGAGCTGCTCTCGGCTGGGAACAAGGCCCGTGCACTTACAGAGGTGGAGAAAATCACAGAGCAGACCTACATGTTAACCTCCAGGCTTCAGAGCCTAGGATTTGTACAGATACCTTCATTTCAGTCAAAGGAAATAGATAAACAAGAGGTAAAACAGTTAAGAAATAAGTCAACCGAAGTAAAAGGCATGTTGAATGCCCTATGTTAGAATGCAACCAACTCATTGTTCTGCTATGGTCTCCAGACCATCTGAAAATAGCAGATGAGGATGCACCTTCTACAGTCTTACAGAGTATCTTTTTCCAGGAATTTTGAATTTAGAATTGCTTATTTAAAAATTGATATTTTAAGTCATAATTCTTACAAGGGTTTAATTGCAAGTTTAGAGTTGAAATACTAAACATACTGCATATATCTGCAGGTCAAAACAAAGCCATGGAGACACTTGGCTCATGTTACCCACTACATACACTGGGTTAAAAATGAGTTCTGATGGACTGAAGTACAGCCTGATCTCACCTCCATGATGGAGGTGAGTCACCCCCGCTAGAAACACACTCACTTCTTATGAACCTCATTCAAATAGTAAGAATAACATCCCACTTGCAAGGTTACTGAGAAGACTGTGATGATAAGAGTCCAACATGAGCACTGTACTGGCACATAACAGGTGCTGGGCAAATAATAGTGTATTTTACTTGCTTTTGTCACCATGAGTCTCCTCTACTGCTAAAGCTGTCAGGTTAACAAAATAATTGAGAAAAAAGTACTATATCCCCAGTAACATTCTTAAAAATGTAGGTGTATAATTTTGAAATCTAGATTGATGCAAGATCATCCCTCAGGAACTGAAAGGAGAATTTCTCCACTCAGGAAACCCCATTTCTTACTCGGGAGACTTTCCTGCCAACAGCTTGTATTTCTCTGTCCAAGGTTTATTTCCATTTATAAATGAATATTTCAAAGTGGTTTATTGAAGTTCCTTAATTCTGGTATGATTAGATATGCACCATAAATTTGTGAGGACTCCTGGGGTATTTCCTAGTTTAGCCTGGCTTCTAGTTGAGATCCTTTTGTGAGTTAGCTCTCATTATTTTGTTCAATTCTCAGGGATCAGTGAGAGCTTCAGTTCTTATTGCTTATATTCCCTTTAGAGGAATTTGGAGAGAAGTCAGCTTGCTCTTTGTTTTCCCAAATTTAAAAAAAAACAAAAAACATGGATTTTTACTTTCCTTGGGACATCAGTGTTGTATGTACATCAGAACAGTCTGGAACACATCTCATCCTTTGTATCATAGTGCTCTTGTATAAACAGAGTCACCTGCTCTAATTTCCTCCCACAAGTCCAAATAGTATGGGGGGTGGATGCAAGAAATGACAGAGGATCTGGTGGTCAGGGGAATAGTCAGGACTTAGTTGGAAGAGGAGAAACCATGTATCATTGTCAAGCATAGAAAGGAAAGGTGAAGAAGCAGTTAGACTAAATTAGGTGTGCATGTTGGGTGTGCCGGGGTAGGGAGCATAATAGTACTTGCAGGGCCTGGTGAAGGGGTTGGAGTGAATAAGCACAAAGAGTAACATAATGAGTAGTAAATTACATAACGTATTGTTTAGATAATTCACACAGTAAGGATATGCACTGTGGTATTTCTTTATGAAAAGCAAGGTAGAAGTTAAACACATCTTTCTAAAGACACCATCGATAGCTGGAAAATTAAGGACCAAAATATGGACATGTACGACTCCTATTATTCTCAAATACAGTCTTAGAAACTGCAACTTTATTGTTACCTTAGTTTTTCACCTAAAGATTTTGAAACTTCAGGAATTTTCAGTTCTTACAAACTTGAATTATTCTTTGAAAACTATGATTCCACAAAAATACGGTCACTTTAGCAATTGTCACTCATTCTCTTTGTTGACAGAAAAGCATCAACCTTGCTAAAAACATGACTTTGACCTTAACTAAATTAACTCAGCATACTTCACAACATAGGACATACCCAGTGGTCACAAATGTTTGTATCTCCTTTTAAAGCTCCATTAGTTTAGACCTGAACTTTTAGCCCTTTGAAAATGTCAGTCCTATATAGGTTGTAGAGTTAGTCAAATTTTTACCCTTAGTTTGTTAATATGACTGCAATCATTGAATTGACTGACTGAAACTTGATTTGAATTCACTTACCGTATTTAAAACTGGTTTGAATTTACAACCGAGGGCATTTTGTGCCAGCACATTTTCAAAAGATACAGATGTAGAGAGACAGAAATGGGAAAAATATATTACAGCTAAATACAATAGAAATCTTGTATTTCTTATATATCTATCATAGCAATGGAGTTGTTCAAAAAGATAATGACTATCCTATTAATGAAAAGTTTTGGCAGTCTCCTAAAAAATATTATTAAAAAGACTTTTAATTGCTTTACAACCTACAGTGTAAACTGTTTATTCTATTCTAGACCTGATACTTGTTTTGGAGTTTCCTTTAGAAAACAGAATTGCCAAGAGGTGACTGTCAAGCCCTAAGATCAAGTGTAAAATCTTAGAGCTTGGAAAAACAGACACAGATTTTCATTCTATTCCTGGATAGAAAAACTGCAGAGTACCATACATGGTTTTGCTCAAGTGTTAATTGCATAGAACAGAAATGGAGGTGGGGGGACATCTGAACAGGCTATGAAGAAAAGAGAGCAAAATGTCAACTCAGGGGAAAAGGAAAATTAAATACCTGGAAAAGATACATATAAGTCTAGAAATTGAAACTAAAATGCCCAAGAAAGCAGATAATTTTTCCTGTCATTTTTAACACTTCCTTTTTCTGACATGTCTGCAATGCTATAAAAGTTATCTCACCGTACTTAAATTTTCCAAGTACATACAGGCTTGAAAGCTATTTGTTTAAATATGAACAAAAGTTAAGCAAAACTTTACCAAACATAGAAGAGATTCCAGTTCAATTTAGAAGAGTACCTAATTCATCCCTGCTGATTTTTCCATTCATGTTGGTGAGGTTAATTTGTGTCTCACATTATTTCACTCTCTTTACTTACTACTTTTGTAAAGAAATAAAAATGAATTCAATCTCACCTTTGAAGAGTGATAATTATGTTTCCATCGCTTGTATGAAAGATCTTAGTAACTCCCTCATGCCTGAGGGTTTTTGAGTTATAGACCTTCACCATCATAGCAGAAACATAATATCTATACTTCATAGGTGAGGGATTCTGCTATTGTGAATGGTAAGACAGAGTTCCAGTTCCTCCTGGCAAATACCCTCTGCTGGAGTTTGGAAGGATTTGTTCTAATTCATTCAAGGTGCAGATTCTTCAGGGAGATAGTCTCATTCCCAGATAGAATCTTCCAAGCTTGGAACACACACACACACACACACACACACAAACACGCACGCACACGCACACACACACACGAAATGTACCTATGTATGTGTGTATACACATGTGTATGTATAGCATGGACCTGACATTATAATTTGCATGATATGTAGATATATCATTCATTATGCTATACAAACTGATTATATGTGACCACATTCTTCATGAGCTAAATTTTTCTTCATGATAGTCCCCTAAAGATCTAAAGATAGTTATATTAACATGCTAATAATGTATCAAAAAACTTACAATTATTTTGGGAAACACATTAATTATCTATTACTATAGTCATTTATCAGTAAAAGTGAGATATAACTATCACTCATCTTTTTTTAATCTCTTTTCATCCTCACACTCGTGAATCTACTTGCCAGAAGTTGAGGATAAGAATGAATTCATCTGAACAGTGATACAGAAAACCTAGAGAAGAATGAACTTGATGCTGGGTCTAAAGAAGAGCGCTGCAAATTTTGTACCTGTTTGTCAATGTATTAAGTACTCACATCTCTACACTTCAGCACCATCATCTTACAAATTGAGATAAAATATAGTTTCTATAAAGATTATTGACACAATACAATTAGCAATATGATGACATGCAATACCTTGCATACAATGATAAAAAATTGTTAATTAGTTTATTTTTTCTTAAGATGCAAATGACTGTGTTCCACCCCAAAGGTTTCATAAGACTGCACTTTTATTTATATAAAAAAATATAAATAAGTCACAAGGTCCAAGATGTGCAGCATGAGACAAAGGCAAAATTTATGAAACTGAAGAAATCTGAACAGTCACACCTACATGGCAAACCATAATAAATCTGTGAGCATTTTCATCTCTAACTTTGGATAACACTTATTGTAGGAAATATGGTTACTCATTGGCAAATGTTTCACATGCCCCTTGCATTTCCCATAAATCTCAACTTTCCTGTATTTAGGGGCATGCATTTCTGGCCAATGGTTAGTAACCATTTATGACATTTCTGGTGCAAGAGTTTGAAGGGTGATTTAAGTTCTTTACACTCTCTTGTCCAAGGCCTAAGATGATGAAGGTTTTTTGTGGAAAGAAGAGTCATAGAATGAAACATTCTGGATTTCTCAATTATGGTCAAAGATTTCAACACCCCTTTCTTAATAAATGACAGAACATGTAGATAAACCTGTCATTGAGTATAAAGAGTGCTGGAAAACCACTGTCAATCAACTTGACCTAGTAACACCACCTAACAACAGCAGATTATATATTCCTTTTTTTTAAATTGAGGTAACATTGGTTTCCAACACTGTATTTGATACAGAGGTATAAGGTCACACCTCTTCAGTTGTATGCTACTACAACAAATCTACAATTTAAGAACCCATAGTCAACTGGGCTCACCTCCTCCTTATGTTCTCCAGCCCTCTAGCCACATTTTGACCATCATCTTTCACCCTGTCCCTCTAATGGTCTCAATTCTATACTCAAATTTCTAGGGTTTATTTTGGTTTAGTTTTAATTATTCATTTTTTTTGTTTACAATATTCCACATATGAGAAAACTAATGGTACTTTGTTTTTTTCTTTTTAATTTATTTTGCTTAGCATAATCTTCTCCAGTTCTATCCATGTTGTAGTAAATGGCAAGGAATTTCACCTTTTTAATGCTGAGTAGTATTCCATTGTGTGTGCATTTATGTATCTCACATCTTCTTGATCCACTTTTCCATTGTTGGGCACTTTGGCTGTTTCTATGGCTTGGTTATTGGAAATAATGCTGCAATGAACACATATCCCTTCACATTAATGTTTTTACATTCTTTTATTTTATTTTATTTATTTATTTATACAAACACTGGGTACAGACAGAAGCGTGGGAGGGTAAGAGAATTCACCAGAGCCAGAGCGAAGAACAGAACAGGCAGACTGATGAAATACACTGCTGAGGGGAGCAATGGGCTTGGCAGAAGAGGTCTGCACAGCATGTGGGACCCTCACCAGTGGCTGGGGATTGAACTGGAGCTGCAGAGGCTGCAGGCAGCTTTGCAGCCCAGCACTCAACTGCTGTACCACCATAGGAGGCCCATTTTTGCATTCTTTGAGTAGATACTTAGGAGTGAAATTGCTGGATAATATGGTAGATCTATTATTGATATTTTAAGAAACCTCCATATTCTTTGCCATAAGATTTAGATCATTCGACATTCCCTCCAAAAGTGTACCAGAGATGCTTTTTTCCATACCCTTGCCAACATTTGTTGTTTCTGGTCTTTTTGACATGGGACATTTTTGCAAGAGTAAGATGGTATCCTATTGTGGTTTTGATTTACAATTCCCTGATGATAAGTGATGCTGAGCATTTTCCCATACACCTGTTGACCATCTGTATGTTTCTCCGGAGAAGTGTCTAACTCTTTTGCCCATTGTTTATTGGGTTGTTTTCTTGTTCTTGAGCTGCATGAGTACTTTACAGATATTAGATCTTGGATACTACCCCTCTGTTGGATGTATAAAGGGCACATATTTTTCTCCCATTCAGTAGGGTGACTTTTCATTTTAATGATAGTTTCTTTTTCTATGCAGAAACATTTTAGTTTGACATAGTCCTATTTGCTTATTTTTGCTTTTGATTCTCTTGATATTGGAGTTGAGGTCTTCTAGGACATCTTTAAACTCAATGCCATGGGATGTTGTGCCTATGTTTTCTTCTATGTGTTATATGGCTTTGAGTTTTACATAAAAGCCTTTAATCCATTTAGAGTTAATTTTTATGTCTGTGAAAAATAGTGATCCAGGGCCTCCCTGGTGGCGCAAGGGGTTAAGCACCACACTATAAAGCAATCCTCAGACTGTAGCACGAGTTCGATCCCCAGTCTGCCAGGGAGCAACCCCCTGGCACAGCAGACCTCTCCTGTCTCACTCGCTGCTCCCCTCAGCAGTATGTTTCAGTCAGTCTGCTTGTTCTGCTCCCCACTCTGTCTCTGGTGAATCCTCTCACCCCCCACATCTCTGGCCTGTATCCCAGCTCTTGTATGTATAAATAAATAAATCTTTAAAAAAAAAAAAGGAGAAAAAAAGAAAAATAGTGGTCTAGTTTCACTTTTATACATATGGCTGTCCAGAAAGTACATTCCTTTAACACACATGAAACATTCACCAAGCTAGATTATCCACAGGGCAGTCTAAATCCAGAAGTCTAAGTAAATTTAAAAGTGTACAAATCACCTATATTTTTAATGGCAATAAAATAAAATTAGAAACCAATAACAAATCAACATGTGGCAAATTCTAAATATTTAAAAACTATGTATATTTAAATAACCAACATTAAAAAGGAAAAATTATTAAGTTTTTTTAACTAAATTCAAATGAAAACATGACATATCTAAATTTGGGGATGCAATCAAAATAGTAATTAAGCAGAAATATTTATTTTCTAGCATTAAATAAATATATTACTACAGAATAAGTGTTACAAATCAAAGACTTTAATTTTTATCTCTAAAACTCAAAAATGTAAACAAAAACTAAGAAAGAATTATAAAGATCAGAATAGAAACTAATAATACAGGAAACAAAACAATGAAAAGTCAAATGCTGTTTTTTCAGGATATCTATAAAATTGATACATCTAACAGACTGATTAGATATGAAAGACAGAAGACATAAATTAATAATGTAAAAAATGAGAGACATAGCAATGCTACATATTCTAAAGACATTTAAAGAAAAAAATGAAATATTGTAAGCAAACATGTACAATAAATTTGACATCCCATATGCAATGTAAAAACTGCTTGAAAGACACAAACAACAAAAATTTATTAAATAAGACATATATAACTTGAATAACCCTATACTTGTTTCAAAAATTGAATTTGAAGTTAAGAATTTCTCCACACAGAAAATTCCAGACCCATAGAGCATCCCTATGTGTGTTCTAAGAATTAGAAAAAAAAACACAACAATAATTTTACATATACTTTTAGAAAAATAAAGAGGAAACACCTTCCAATTCATTCCATAGGCTGCATATTATGGAACCAAATTTTGACAAAAAGTGTTAAGAGAAAACTATAGGACTAAAGCACTCATAAATATAAATGCAAAAATCATTAAAAAATATTAGAAACTATTCTGACTGGGGTTGGGGGTGTTTGTCACTATATCACAACCAAGTATATTTTACCCCAGGAATGGAAGATCAGTGGAACATTCTAAAATTAATCAATGTAACAAGCCATATTAACAAACTACAGATGAAAGAGCATATAGTCATTTCAATAAACACAAAAAAAGAATTTTGACAAAATTAAACGGGCATTTCTATTAAAACACTCTTAGAAAACTAGAAACAGAAGAAAATAGAAGGAACCTCCCCAATATTTGCAGATAACAACATACTTAATGGTAAAAGCCTGAATAGTTTCACCATTACTCATATCTATTCAACACAGCACTGGAGGTTTTCTGTTTTATTTTGATGGGAAGAAGATTTATATTGTACACAGATGTGTTGTTAACATTAAAATATCAGTACTAGCTATTTATTGAACATCTATAATGTGCCAAGTATTTGACATCTATCAATTCATTTAATCCTCAGTGTTATTTGGACATTATAAAATTCAGCAAAGAGCAGCTTATGGAATTAATTTAGCCAGTGTCTCCCACTTAGTGGTGTCAGGACAAGGATTTGAACCAAAGTGTATCCATCTCCTCCCTGCTCATCAGAACACACTATTAGCCAATTCAAATAGACTTCTTCTAAGATGTGATGTCCTCCCTCCCTTTAATTTTCAACCTCATCCTATATATTCCAGCAACTATCTTTTCCACATTCTAAGATACTGCTGCCTTGTTAGCTTTGCTCCAAATTATAGTACCTTGCCTCATGTGTCCTCTACCCTATAGTTACTTCTCTATATTCAAGACCTGCACATCCCCTCCATCTAACCTTTCCCAGCAACTTCAGCTAGCAAAAGCTCTCACCTGCTTTTGCTCTCATTTCCCCTACTAGGGTGCACAATTATGACTGATGGCCCACTTGTTCACATGCACGCATATCCATGATGGATCAGCAGAACTAAACAAGTAAAAGAAATAAAAGCATCCATACTGGAAAAAAAAAAGCATTCTTAATTTGAAGATAATATAACCATCTTTGGAAAAAATTCTATGGACTATCAAAAAGGTACTAGACTTAATAAGCAAGTTTAGCAAGAGTACAGGACATAAGAATCAATTTATTTCTATATTCAAACAACAAATAATCAGAAATGGAAGCTATTTTAAAGACCATTAAAATAGCTATTTCATAGCTATAACACAATAGCTATAGTGTTATATTTTATATATAACACAATAGCTATAGCTATATTTTATAACACAATAGCTATAGTGTTATAGCTAACACTATAAAGCTGATAAAAGATGTGTAAAATCTATACACTGAAAACTGAAAACTAATCCTTAAAAAGTTAAAGAACATCTATAAAAAAAAGATATATAAATCATATTCATGAATCAGAAGAATCATTATAATTAAGATATCATTTTTCCCCAGTTGAGATATAGATTAAATGAAATCTCAATCAAGTGAGAATTGACAAGCTGTAAAAATTGACAAGCTGTAAAAATTGACAAGTTGATTCTAAATTGCGTATGGAATGATAAAGTACTTAAAGTAGCCAAAACACTTGGAGAAAAACAAAATTTCGTGGGATTCTCAATGGCAATTCAATGAAGGATAACCTTTCAACAAATGGTGCTGTGCTGGGATAACAGGATAGTCATATGCAAGACAAAAAAAAAAAATCTTTTTTGACCAGTATCAATATTAACCTTCAAAAATGAATCATACACC